TCAAATGTCTGCCTCCGCCTCTGGCAGTGAGTCGGGTATTTTTAGCTAATGTTTAAGTTTAGAACCTGCTTTGACTCTAGCTGTCACCATCTGATTTGCTTCAGTTAAATGTACCTATATGTGTGCACTAGCGCAGTGAGAAAATGTCAAGACTGAATGGCCAAGTCGGTTCCTGTCCGTTGGTCAAATAAACGTCTAATTCTTTGCCAGGTAAAACACCAAGTGTGCTCAATCGTCTTCTTTTTGAGCGGCTTCAGTTGTTTTATAAACCTTGTAACTATGCACTGCTCTAAGTCATACATCCTGACCATGTCCGATATGATTATGACAGGACAACAAAATGACTCGAGCCCTCGTTCTGTCTGCAGTGCTCTCACACAAGCAGGGGTCTGTTGCACCATACTCATTTTTTCCGGCAGTGACTTCATGTGGCAAAGAAGAGAATTGCATTCTTATGATCAGTTGCCTTGTTCGTCTGGGACAATTAGCCACACACCAGGGACGATTCTAGGATCAAACCACTAGGAGGCCTCAGCCCCCAGTCATAACGTCATCCATTCTGCCTTACAATTATACCAACATATTATGCTGCATGTAAACATAATTTTCACCTTTGCAGACCTGAATGTTACAGGATAAACATTAAAACATATCCAAAAGAAATATCTTTTTTGGATTATATTTCAGTGTTGAACCCTTTCATGCATGAATTATGACAACCTCAGTCAGGATTTTTATTCTTAAGTAGTTTTAGTCATCTTTAGGCATGAAAAAAAAAGATTTTTGAACTTCATTTTTTTTAAACATGTACTTTTCAAAGAGTTTGTTACATGTCCACTTAGGTGGACAACCTACGTTTTGACCTGTGAATTTGGTATGGAGTGACACATCAGTGTCCGATGTAGTGGTTTAAGTGCAAGTGTGCCATCAACACTGAAACGGATACAAGAAAACAGCCTTTGAATAGCTGTCCACTGTACTGACCACTATGCACGAAGAATGATTCTGAATAAATGATCACAGTTCTTAATATAACTTTTGAAAGTAAGTTAAAGCAAAATTTGTAGTAAAGCAGAAAAAGAGGAGAAACTTGCACAAACTTTAGATCATGAAATCATCATCAATGAATGTGGGCAAAAGAGAAGCAACAGCTTTTGCTGTCTTTGACTTTTGCTCTTTACCTCTAACCCTTTCCATCCCTGTCTCTCATGCAGCTCCTCTGTTTGAGTGCACTAATAGCAACTTGACATCAAGAACACTGGACTTGATTTCACTGTAATCTGCTGTATGATCTCCAACAGAGAAGTTTGGAAAATGTAGCAAGGGCATGTTGCTTTTAGGGTGGTTGAGCATCCAGAAAAGTAGTGATGTGTCGGTCACGAATGAAACGGCTCTTAGAGCCGGGTCTTTGACGTGAACGACATGAGCCGGCTCCTTATCGGGAGCCATGGGGGTTTTTTTTTTCTTTCTCTCACCCTCTCTCTCACACGTTTTTCCGCTTCACTCTGCACGCGAGCCTTGTGCTTTGCCCTGGGAAGAGGGGGGAGGAGCGGTAGTTACACTCGCAGCAGCACAGGAACAGAGCAGGAGGGAGAGACAGTGAAAGAGAACCAGGGATAACAACGTCACATTAGAAAGGTGTAGTAATCATCCACAGCTATTTTCAGTTACGGATGATAAAGGATTCAGAAAGTTTATTCATGCAGGCCCATATGACAGAGAATATGCATGTTCTTTTTGTTTTCATATTTTATTTATATTTAATTTTGTTGTGGTTTGCAGTGTTTTGTGTTGTTTCACTTAAAATTTGTTTAAAAGGAAAAAGCTGACAATTTAAATAGTTGAAAGTTGAAATGTGAATAGTTGTTTTTTGTATTATATGATTTATTTATTACATTTTATGTGGAGTGAATAAATAAAAGTATATTTACGGTGGCCCCTAGAGACAAAGCATGTAAAAGCTTCAAAACAGGCACAAACACAACAGAAGTGCTCCAGGATGCTAGGGGGCAGTGTTGAGCTTTTGATACCCAATGGCTACACAAGCCAGGAAGTACCAACGACCGGATTTGGTGTGTGGTAATAACAGGTAAATGAACATTTTATTTTATTTGACTATATATGAATGCTTATGTATAAATACACAAACAATACACATATGCGTTCAATTGTGTAATTTAAGTGATCTAGGTAGCTCTGTTTTGGAAGTTCAGTTAACGCTAGAAATGTGTTTTGGAGTTTGGAGGAAATTGTACATGCTTTGTCTCTAGGGGCCATTGTATATATTTATATATAAACATATATAAATAAAACCTTTTTTTTTACATTAGTAATTCTTTTTGTGCATAATTTTATATTGTTGTTAATAATAAATTAATTAAAGCAATAAAACAACCTGAAGAGTCGGTTGGGAGCCGAAAGAGCCGATTCTTTTAGTGAGTCGAGCCGAAAGAGCCGGTTCTCTAAAAGGAGCCGGAAATCCCATCACTACTGAAAAGGGTCTAAACGCGCCAATGCTACAAACTGCATATTTCTCACTTAATACTCACATTTTTCACACAATGTGAATATTAGGACATCTTTTATATTTGTTTACATTATCTGTGTGATGACTTTGAGCTTTCTGGGTCATTGTTCATGGTGAATCTATTAGACTGAATATGACCAGAGATTTTTGATCAATTTGTTTGTGTCCCTGTGGCTTTCCTTTTATGTCTGTTTGATTGTTCTGTCATCCTTGTTTAAAATAAACAATTATATGACCCAATTCCTGGATCTTCTTGCTGTCTGAATCCACATGGATACCATCAACCCTGTTGATGCCACTGTAAAATCCAAGCCTTAGGAGGAACACACTCTATACATTAAAACCGTTACAACATTAAAACCCTTATATGGTGTCTGTTTTACAAATTCAAACAAATAGGCGTTCAAATTTGGGATGGTTGTTTTCAACAATGCAACTGTGACCCATATATTTTTCTATCAAGGCAATTAAACTTGATTTTCAGCCATGTTTTTTCTCCTCTCATTAACTGCAGTTACATTTGTTGATTCAAAATTTCCCTTAAAATGCTGTGAAATGACAATGCCAATACTATTAATTATATATTACCTCCCTCAGGACATACTGCATTTTCTTTGGACCTTCATTACTAAGTCAGATATATTTTCCATTTTTGCTTGATATAAGATTTCAGCAGCCTTAGGTTCTGGGCTTCCTTTATAATGTTTTTCATTTCTTAGTGTAGACTGCAGCGAGGAGATTGTTGCAGAATGTCATTAGGGCATTATCTCTATGAAATAAGCTGGGCCTTCCCTGCAACAGACCTCAAGTAAATTGTTTAGTTGACTGTGAAGACCGCTGTGGACGTTAACCAAATTGTGTCAACATGACCCATCCCTAAAAAGTTTTATCAGAATTCATTAAAGACTGGTTGAGCTCATTTGTTTACTGACAGAATGACACATGTGCAAACACTACCAAAAACATAACCTGTTTGGCAG